CAAAAATAAGATTATCAAATAATCTTAAAATGTCTAAGAAAATGGAGATAATTAGATTACACCTCCTATATCACCAATAATAATTATTATTGATATTGAAAGATTATCAAAATTTTATATTACTTGACAATCAAACATGGTAATCAAGTAATATAAGATGACATTATCCCTAATCAAACACACCCTTAGAGTAAGGTATAATGGCATTAACCTTGCTCAAGTGGACTTTGTTAATATTTTGTATAGCTCATATGGATAGTTTATACATAATCTATTATATAAAATATCAATATCACCTATATAAAATATCAAAAAGATCACTTGAGCAAGATTAATATCATTATACCCAACTTAAGCGAGGTTAATATCATCATACCGCACTCGAGCAACTCAAGTTTATTCAATTTTTTGAGAAATTAGTTCTTCAAATTTATTTCTGCAATTTTTTCCCTAAATGTATTATCTCACTTATATTAAACACATATGAACATGGCATTTACCCCTAAACATATACAAATGACACAAAAAGAAAAAAAAAAAAAAAATAAAATAACTTGTACTTTGTTATGGTAAAGATGAGATCGACTTCTAATTAAGATTAATATGCATCTTAATTTAAAAGCACTTAAAAAGAAAAAAGAAAAGAAATTGGAGGATCTCATACTATTTAACCCAGGAAGGAAGAAAGTTTAACCCCTGAAATGAGAGAAGAGCCACAAAGAAACTCCAGAACACGAACATTGCTAGAAGCACTTCCAGCGCTTTTAATAAAAGAAGTTCCTGCCATGTTGATAAATAAAGGCTGTCATTGATGAAAGAGGTGTTGAAAATATATTAATTTCTTTTGTTAAGGGGTCAGGGGGTGGCTCCCCCGCTGTGCAATCCTGGTGAAAATTTTAGGGAAAAAAATGAATTCCTTTTTAATTTTATATAAATTCATAATCTATTATATATTTTGATTTAATTATTGTAAAAAATATCTTTTAATTATAATTCTTTTAATTTTTTTATGCATTGTTTTTCCTCGTATTTCCACATCACTTTTCTTCTATGTTAAAATAAAAATAATGTTACGTATACAAACTATTGATTTGTGATTTTTTTTTCTCTCTTCTGCCCATGCTTCGAAAGACAACTTCAGATATCAAAGAAGAAAATTAATTACTCACCTGTGAATGTAAAACTGAGCCGTAATAAATACATAGGATACCATAAAAAGCTGCATTAAAAAGATAGAGAAAGACAAGCCACAATGAGATCATATATATTACCCATAACCATTAATACTAATGATTTTCAAAGGCAGAATAAACTTTACCCGCTAGGGCCGCTAGAGTTAATAGCACATAATCCCTTGATTGTGCCAACCCACCAATAACGAAAAAACCCCACGCAATAGCTAAGAATCCACTTAAAACAAAAAGTATCCTACAAAAAATTGTTATATAAGCACTCTTAAAAGCAGCTGAAGCCATTAAAATGCTATAATTAATTAAATTCAATAATCTCAATTTTCAACAAAAAAACACCATAATCAACAGTATTGACAACAATCCAGATTCACTTCATCACATAACTTAACATACTTAAACACAAAAAAAATTAACAATTAATAGATTAAACTTAACAAACCTGTAAGTTTGTAGCACCGAGGCCAGATGTATTGGTAATTATATCTTGTATTGTAGGGGGCTAGTTAGTAAATACTGGTACGGCAAAAAAACAGTACGGGAATTTTACGGATATAATACGGCAAACAGTGAAAAATACGTTTATAAAAATTCGGTCATAAAATTCGGATACGGAAAAAATACGATACGGGTATATACGGGTTTAATACGGTATATTATCAATAATACGTTTTGAAAAATACGGCAATATTGATCCTAGTTTTGATACTTTTATGGACTAATTATTAATGTATCTTTGCATTGACTTCAATTAAATCTTTTGCTTTTGCTTTTGCCTATGGTAATGTTAATCTTTTCTTTGCCTTAACAAATTCCCCGGCCCATGTCTTGTTCTATCCCACCCCATGTCTTGTTCTATCCCACCAACAGAAAATATATATATATATATATATATTTTGTTTATGCAATAGAATTATAAAACGTAATCTACAGTTACAGTGTTGAGTGTTGAAATCCACCACAAACACAAATTAAACACCCGTGACCCATCTTGAAAACCCCCCTCCCTCTCTCTTCTTCAATCAAATCATCTCTCAGTGTCTCACGGTCTCACCCACAAAGCCAACTGCTTCTTCCAGAGTTCCAACAATGGCATCTGCTTTACAGGTTATTTTTTCTGCCAATACTTTCCTTTCTTTAAACTTATTCTTCTCCCCCAAACAAAAACACAAACTCGTTAAAACCCTCAACCAGTTCGCCTTCCACAAATTTATTCTTCTCCCCCAAACACAAACACAAACCCGTTAAAATCTCAACCAGTTCGCCGTCCGAGCTGAGGAAGGAGAAGTATTGGCAGAAAAGCTGAAAACGTCAAAGATCTGAGGAAAAAAAGCTGAAAATGTCATCCGTCACAGAACTGAGGAAGGAGAAGAACTGAAAAAGAGAAGAGATACCGTGTAATTTTGAATTAAACCCCCTAAAACGACGTCGTTTTGGGGTGAGAAATTTTTATAACATACGTTAAAACGCGTTTTATACGCGAATTATATGGCTGGACGTATAATTCGAGTATAAAACACGTATTTACTAACTAGGTGTAGGGGTGCTTGAGGAAGTACCCTCCATATAAAAACCTATAAATGAAAAAAGAAAATCTGCAATTTAATACAAAACCAATATGAAATAATGTAAAACCATGGTGTTTGCACACACATCAAACCAATACATTATACATTGCACATCAAACGTTACATACTGGATATTGCATCTAATTTTGTCAATTTGAACCAATATTAATTGTCACTAATACATCCTGAGATTCATTTATTCTTTAATTAGATATGCTGGTTGAAGAATTAAATGCCCTATTTATTCATTCAAACTCATTTATTCTTTATATGACTTTGTAGAAGCAAATCCCCTACTGGCTACTGTAGGGGATTTCAATCGTGAAGACTCTTCACTTCCCTTTACCCTTTTGCAATTTAATATATAACAATGGCCCACCACCAAATGGCAATGCATAACCACAACCATAAACAAATTTAAAAATTGCCCTTTTGATATTTAGTGTAAAACAAATCCCCACAAATACAAGTCCACAACCACAACCACAGACCACAGTCCACAAACAAATTATCAAACTCCTTTTGTAATATCAATTTTCATGTAAACAAATACCCCACAATTTTCATGTAAACAATGTCAAATTAACAAATTCTTTAAAACAATTTAAACAAACAATGAAACAAACTGGCCTATAGGTTACAACAGACTACTCTTCACAAACAGTACACAAACGTTAACCAGGATACCAGATCAAGTGCTCAACGGTTCTTCTATGGGTTTCATAGCGACACCATGACGGTCAACAACGACAACACAACCTTGATACAAGATTCCTTGAATTGTTTCACTGGAAAAATACCCCTGTTATAGAGAAACAATTCACGAAAATCATGAAAAAAAAATCCATTCAAATAGTTCACAAAAATCAATCACACACAAAGACACAAGCAACAACAACTCAAGAAGATCCAAAACAGACAACTTACCGTGAGAAATTGATAGTCTACAATGTTGCAGATGGGTTTCACGACGAAAGAGAAAAGGAAAGGAATTGCAGCCAAGCATTGGTGAGAGTTGAATGGGTTTGACGACGGCAAGTCTGCGACAAAAATCCGACGAAGAAGATGGTGTTGACGACGATTGGAAGTTGTGCAGCAGGTTTTTGAGTTTGGATGACTTTTACAGCAAAATGTCGACATTTTAGGGATTTTAAAATGGAGGGCATTTTTTAATTTTTAAAAAGTTTTGTTATGAAACTTTCATTTTAATCCCTTGCACTTCAGAAAACCCCAAAAACCCCCCCAACTTTATCTAGCCACGCTTGGCTCGCGAGCCTAACAAGCCAAGCCGAGCATGGCTCGAACTCAGCTCGTTCTGTCTCACGAGCCGAGCCGAGCTGGCTCAATATTAAACGAGCCAAGCCGTTAACAAGCCGGACTCGAGCCAAGCCGAGCCGACTCGCAAGCGGCTCGGATCGTTAAGCACTCCTAAACGCACCCTTAAGAGTTTATTTCATTTATTTTGACAAAATTGTTTTATATCAAAAAAGGATATTTCATATTAAATGATTTTAATCTGTAAGTTTTTACCAGCCAATAGTTATGATTTTACGAATTCATTTTTTTCTTTTTTAGTTTTAATCAGCTTCAAACTTACCTAATAAGCACTTTTAGGAAATTCAAAAGCACTTCTTCCAAATGTGTTTTGAATTTAAAAAAATAAAAAAGTTTTTTTTTAAAGTAATTTTTAAGCAATTTATTATCAAAATTAACAATATATGAGGGACTTGAACTTAAGACCTCTTGACTAATACATCTAAGAGTCTTTATCAAACTACTAGACCACTCAAAGGTAATTAAATAAATATATATTCACGTTATTTTTTGAAGATATAATGTTGTTGATAAGTGCTTTTTGGGAGAGATAGCTTCCAAACAAGGCCTGAAATGTATTATACTTTAATTAATCACGAGGAAGTTTCCTAGTAAAGTGATAGAAAATAAAAAAAAAAATAGAAAAAAAAAAACTTACCCTTCCATGCTTTCTTAAATTTGATGGGTGATGGAGATTCTCAGTGAACCTTTGAAGCTATGTTATATCTCATACTTTATCTTTAATTAATGGAATCTATTATTTATAAATTTTCCTTTTTAATTTTATTTATTGGAAATATTATTATGTTGGTTTTTGTGAATAAAAGAAATCTTCGAAAGCAAAAGCTGAAGGGCAGCATCGAAACCAATCATAGGTTTAACCATTCTAAATTATTTGGTTGTTACATTCAACAATTATTGCTGTTCAAAACCAATTAACCAGTCCGAAAACCCCTTTTTTTTAATCGAATCGGTTTTTCAGTTCAGAAAAATCTCTGAACCAAAACTGAACCGGTTATAGGGAAAACCAATTTTGAACCAAACTTGTTTTTCAGTTAGGAAAAACTTCCATGGCTTTAGACGACTTAACGAAGTTTCCAACTAAACAAAGAAACTTATTGCCTCAGTTTTGCTATACCAATATAAAAAAAAAGCTTTCAAACATTGTTTTCAAGGAAATGAACCCAACTGTCCCATAAAAAAATTAGAAATAAAAATAGAGTTGCAGATTAACAATACAACCTCAGCTTCAGCTCCAACTGTCCCACAGAAAACTGTAGTTTTTTATTACAGCTTCAGCTGCTTTCACTTTCGTCTCAACCCATGCTGGTTAGATCTCTTAATGTAACTTTCCTCTCTCTCTTCAACTGCCTTGGCTTTGGCTTTCTTCTCTCTCTTCTTCTTTTTCTAACATTAACCCAAGCATACCGAACTGAAGTGGTCTGAAGAACGAAGAAGGAAGTGAAGTGGTCTGAGTTGGTTAGGAGGGAAGACTGAGTGACGAAGTGAAGTGGCATGTGTGTTGAAGTGCGGCGTAATGAAGTGAATGAGAAATAGAATTGGGGATTAGGTTTTTAATTAAAAACAGGCTCAGGCTAACCGGTTATAAATTTTTGTTGAACCGGTAATCAAATCAGAAAACCGGTTCAAGTATTTTCTCCCGAAATCGAATCAGTTTCACTAAAAAATCATATTTCATTGACCAAAATTATGCTGAGCTCCTTTGACAACCTACAATTCAAACATCAAGCATTAAACAAAATTAACTCCGATCATATAAACAATCCAAAAATCATGTCATACTTGACAAGAATATGTCACTTTGTTGTCTTTGTCACTCAAAAACTTAATTTCCAATTCAAAGCATCTGACTAATTAAATTTTAAAATATTTTTAGTTACCTTTGTATGCGTGTGAGTAAATTAATTAGATTTCAATTTTAATGACACTTCTAATATATTAATTTCAATCCTTTTGTTAAGTTAACAAGTTGGATTAGATTCGTAATTCTAAATATCGGATCACATTATCAAAGTTTTTGTCAAATTCAATAGTTCAAAATACCAGTTTCCCAAAAAAAAAAAAATTCTAAATACCTTCATCATGATTTAAAAAAAAAAAAAAATGCAAACTAACGTCTCCAATAAGTCTCATGCACATTATTAAGCATATGTGGCAGTGATTGATTTTCTGTTTTTATCCTTTTTATTAAAGAAATAGAGAAAAATTCAATTACCCACCCCACAGTTTCTGAAAGTCGAGTTTTTAGGTAATTATAGACGTTTTAATCAACTTGCCCCCAAAATTAAAAAAAAAAATAATCAATCACGCCCTATATCTAGTGGGGGCAATTGAGCGACTCAGCTCACCAAAAGCTCAAGATCATTGAGCTCAAGCTCGAGCAGCTCAGCTACAATGTCGAGCTGAGTTCAGTCACTCCTAACTTAGCTCGACAAGCTCGCGAGCTTTAGTGAGCTCGAAATTAGAAAGAGGGTATATGCGATTTTTACAAATATTAGGAGGTATATGTGATTTACCAGTTTGTAAAACTATCAAAGAAAGAATTATTTAATGGGCCATTCATCATTGGTGGGCTCGAGACATTATGTTTGTGGCAGTAGACGATTAAATAAAGGATAGTGTAAAAAATAAAAAATCATCTTCTCTCTTCCTTCTTAGCAAAAACAAACTGCAACTCCATAACCATATTAATGAACTTCTTCCATAACCAAATTAAAGCCCCGATTTTTAACCATATTCCAACTAAAAAAAAAAAAAAAAAAAAAACCAAAAACTATTGTTGGGCTTATTCCACTAAAAGAACTTCTTCCCAATCTCTGTAATTACAAAATCAAGCCTATGAAAGAGAGAAAAAAATACCAAGACCAAAAGAGAGATTGAAGAAAGTTTGAAAGAAAAATAAGAAGAGGAATCAAACCGAAGAAAGGTTGAAGGGTGGACGTTTGAAAGAAAGATTGATAAAAAATATGAAGACTGGAAGTGAGTTTGTTAAAAGACATATGAGATGTCCAAAATATGTTTAGTGTATAGCAAAAAAAAAAAAAAAGAATTTTGCTAATTCAAATTGGGTTGAAATTCACCCTTCCGAAAACTGAGAAATAACTTTGGCAATTCTCAAGGCAGCTAGTAGGGTATAATAGTATTAACTTTGCTCAAGTAGACTTATTTAATATTTTATATAGCTCATATGGATAGTCTATTATATAAAATATCAATATCATCTATATAAAATATCAAAAATACTACTTAAGCAAGATTAATATTATTATATCTAACCTGAGCGAGGTTAATACCATTATACTGCCCTCGAGTAACTCAAGTTTATTCAATTTTTCGAGAAATTAGTTCTTGCAAATTTTTTCTGCAATTTTTTTCCTAAATGTATTATCTCATTTATATTAAACACAAATGACATGGTATTTACCCCTAAACATATACAAATGACAGAAAAAGAAAAAAAAAAAAAAAAAAAGCAAATCTAGAAACATTAAGAGAAGAAAGAAGCGAAAAGAAGAAAAGAGAAAAAAGTGAATGGTAAAATCGTCCAAAATTTGCATCAAATATCTTACTTAGAATGACAAATGGTTTGTTTTTTTAATTTGACTCTTAAAGTAGATTATAAGTAATTATTTCTTTTAGTGATTAACCAACAATGAAAAATTAACTTGCACTTTATTATGGTAAAGATTAGATCGACTTCTAATTAAGATTAATGTGCATCTTAATTTAAAAGCACTTAAAAATAAAAAAAAATAAAAAAATTGTAGGATCTCATACCATTTAACCCAAGAAGGAAGAACGTTTAACCCCTTGAATGCGGAAAGAGTCAGAAGGAAACTGAAAAATACGAGCATTGCTAGGAGCGCCTCCAGCTTTTCTATTTCTTTTGAGGAAAGAAGTTCCTGCCATGTTGATAAATAAAGGCTGTCATTGATGAAAGAGGTGTTGAAAATATATTAATTTCTTTTGTTAAGGGGTCAGGGGCGCAGCCACCCCCGCTGTGCAATCCTGGTGAAAATTTTAGGGAAAAAAATGAATTCCTTTTTAATTTTATATAAATTCATAATCTACTATATATTTTGATTTAATTATATTAAAAATATCTTTTAATTTTTTTATACATTGTTTTTTTCTCGTATTTCCACATCACTTTTCTTTTGTATTAAAATAAAAAAAATGTTACATATTCAAACAAATGTGACAACCTTACATATTTGATATGTGATTTCTTTTAATTATACAATTTATTTTTAATTCAAAGTTATCCAATCATCTTAAAATATACCATATTAAGAAACAAATTACTTGAAATATGAATTCATGATACTTTCCAACACCAACTTCAGATATCAAAGAAGCATGATTAATTACTCACCCGTGACTGTACAGCTGGGAGGCAACAAATAGACAGGATACCAAAAACAGCTGCATTAAAACAAGAATCTTACTAATGATTGTCTAATTAACCATTAATACTAATGATTTTCAAAGGCAAAATAAACCTTACCTGCTCCAATTAATGAAGCTCTTGATCGTGCCAATATACCATGAAGACTAAAACCAATAGCCATGAGTCCACCTAAAACAGGAATTATGCTACAAAAAATTTTTGGTAGCTCCCCCGCTGTCCAATCCTGGTAAAAATTTTAGGGAAAAAAATGAATTCCTTTTTCGTTTTATATAAATTCATAATCTATTATATATTTTTGATTTAATTATTGTAAAAAATATCTTTTAATTATAATTCTTTAAATTTTCTTTATGTAAAGAAAACGTTACGTATACAAACTATAAGATATGTGATTTTTTTTTTTTCTCTCTTCTGCCCATGCTTCAAAAGACAACTTCAGATATCAAAGAAGAAAATTAATTACTCACCTGTGAATGTAAAACTGAGCCGTAATAAATACATAGGATACTATAAAAAGCTGCATTAAAAAGATAGAGAAAGACAAGCCACAATGAGATCATATCACCCATAACCAGATTGTCTAATTAACCATTAATACCAATGATTCTCAAAGGCAGAATAAACTTTACCCGCTAGGGCCGCTTCAGTTGAAGCCATATGACGCCTTAACGTTAAACCAATAAAGTCAATAACGCACACAATAGCCACGAATCCACTTAAAACAAAAAGTATCCTACAAAAAATTGTCACATAAGCACTCTTAAAAGCACCTGAAACCATTAAAACGCTATAATCAATTAAATTCAATAATCTTAATTTTCAACACGAAAACACCATAATCAACAGTATTGACAACAATCCAGATTCACTCCATCACATAGCTTAACATGCTTAAACACAAAAAAAATTAACAATTAATAGATTAAACTTAACAAACCTGTGAGGTTGTAGCATCGAGGCCAGAACGACAGTAGCCCACAAAATCAATCGCAATGTTGACCTTATCACTGCACACAAGCACAACAAAAACGGCCATAAGAAAAATAAAATGTTTCAAGAAAATCATTATAAAATGTTCAAATATTACTCGTTCGGGAGATGATCCTTCAGGTAGCTAAAGTGCCACAAATTGAAGAGATTTGTGGGTTTCAACTTGACATTCCAAATAAATAGCATATCAACTTCAAGATTTAAAAGTGACATTAAATATATAAATAACACGTTCATACCTTTGAAAGGGCATATTAAAAGAAAGATAAAAAAAGCATCAAGGTGACATTGAATTCACAAAATTCAAAAGTACACTTACTGTGTCTTCTGTATACTCGTTGTATGGTTGTATTAAGGTCATTCTTCCAAAACTTTTCATCAAATCTGAGATTCTTGACTTCGAGTAATTTTTCAGCACGTAAGACTCCTTGACAGAAAGTTTTCATCCTGTTGCAGTTATTCAATTCTAATTTTTCCAAAGATGGAAATTCCAAAGTGTAGTTCCCAGAATAGAAGCATTTGAGACTTTTTAAATCATTGAGTAAGAGATACATCAAATTTTTGAAAACAATCTTTTCATCTCCTCCTGCATGGCCCTCATTTTCTACTACTTCTATCATCACATGGCATGCTGTTATTTCCATTTCCCTCAGCTGCTCCAAGCTTTTGGCTATTGAAGATGTCATTAAGTTGACAAATCCATTGCAATGCGTTACTTTCAGAACTTTTAGATTTTGGAAAGCCACATGGGATAATGGAGGTAGATTAATCAATTCGTCGAACCCCGTTATTTCGAGATGTTCCACAAATTTTATCTGAAAGATTCCAAGTAGAATAATGTCAATGCCTCCAAATTGAGGTTAATTACAGATCAACATCGAGTTAGAGTTAATAAATTTTTTTCTGTACTTTTAACGACAAATAGGAAGGGGAAAAAAGTTCAATTGCTGGGAACGTTTCCACACCACAAATACTAGCCCAAGTCCCCAGCCCACCGTCGCCGCTCAAAATGTTCTTAATTAATCACCAAAATCTCTCCCAAAAAAAAAAAAAAAAAAAGGAAAAAAGTTGCAAGCTAAATCAACACAAACGTGTGAGGGTTGAGGGTCAAATATGTGAGGATGGAGGTGGGGGTTAGGGAAGATGGTGAGGATGGCCTGTGAAGATCCGGTACTTCAATAAGTTTTATTGACAAGATTTTAATTACAAAATTCATCTCAACCCAACTAATAATTAATTTAATTTAATCTTTTTTTTTCTAAATTCATATTGAAGAAAAAAGAGATATTAAACATCATATAATAATGTTACTATAAATTTATGAATATAAAGATGTTTTTTTATCTTTCTTTCCTCTTTTTCAATAATGGAAGAAAAGAGACTTGTACCTTTTCCAACAAGTAGAGGTATCGTGGCTCTGAAATGTCTTCTGAATCGGATCTCTTTACTTTGGGAGTGTTTGTCTAAACTTATGAAAATTAGCTTATAAGCAACGAATACTTATAAGCTAATTTTAGCTTATAAGCATTTGAAATTTTAAGCAATTACGTGTTTGGTTAAAGTACTTATAAGTGACTGATAAGTAGTTGACGTGTTTGGTAAAATGTGACTTATAAGTACATTTTATTATAAAATGACTAAAAAGGGTACTACATTAAACAAGGATATACTATGAAATTTTAAAATTAAACAAGGATAATGTGGTAATATACTTGGTCAAACTAGCTTATAAGCAGAGTGCTTATAAGCCAAAAAAAAAAAGTACCTCCCCCCCAACTTATTTTTTTTGGCTTATAAGCTTAACTTATAAGCTCAAAAAAGTCATAAACAAACATGTCAGCTTAATTTTAGAGCTTATAAGCAAGTTTGACCCGCTTATAAGCTTAGACAAACACCCCCTTTTTCATGGCAAGACACCAGCAATTTCTTTAACTGAGGCCATTCATGAGTATGTTTTCTAGAGTAGAAAGCTTTTAGCTTTGGTAGCTCTCTTAGACTCAAAAAGGTTACTCTCGGAAAGACAAACGCTGTAGCTTCACCATCTAACATAACAATCTTCTTCGAAGATATACAATTGCGAATCTCAAGGTGTTCGAGCTGCTCAAAATTTTTGACTAAAGATGACGGGAAAGCATATTTTAGGTTTTTGCAGTCCCACAATGTCAAGCGCTTTAAATTTTTGTAGGAAGGTGTTAATGCTGGATTTTGGTGGTCCCAGATCTTCTTAACTTTAATTGCTCTCAGATCTAAGGTCTTCAAATTTGGAAAAGCAACCTGCAATCAAATTTAATTTAATTTTAATATTTTCTCTCATAAAATCGTCTCTTTTGTCTTAATATATTTCACACCAATTATGACATAATTTATGAGTCCTATTAATGAACTTGAATAGTTGAATGATTGTTGCATCTCACTCATAACGCTCCGAAACACCATTGAGCAACTATTTAACTTGCCAAAATACAAAGTTTAGCTAAAATCAATCCCATATAATAAAATTACGCCTGCTAATTGTGTGTCCAAAAATTAGTGTAAACAAATAAAAATAAGCATGAAAAACTATTAAAATATATAATAGAAAACTACAAGGTTATGTAAACCAAACCTTCTTGTTGGAAAGTAATATTGGAGTGTCAAGTTCATCCTGCCATCTCTCTTGCAATGTTGAAGGTTTCTTCACTTCAGAATAGAAGCTTGTAAGATGTGGAAGAAAGTTGAGAGTCAAAGAGCGTAACTGATAGAATTTAATCTGATCAATTACTTCATTGTTGTTTTCATTTTCTCCTCTTTCAACAGCAAAAATCTGTTTCATATTGTCGCAAGATTCCACCTTCATTGTCTGAAGTTGTGGAAGGCTTCTAGCATTGGCGAATGAAAAGATATTTTCCAATTTAACACATCCTTTCACATCTATGATCTTCAGGTTGCAAAAAGACTCTTTTGTCAGATGACCAGAACATATGTTCTTCAACTCAGTCAAGTTTAGTAGAATCAGTGACTCCAAGTTGCAGAAGACAACACCGTCTCTGCAATTTGTTGAGTTAAAAATGCACGAGAGATTAGGAGTGTTGTGAAGATGGAGATGTTTCAGTTGAGAAGAACTCGGTTGTGAAGAACTTTCTCTCTCCAGTTCGTTAAGAACATTCCCAATACACTGCAATTTCCCTATGCATAAGAATTCAACATTCTTGAAGCATCGAAACTTCTCTGACCAATTGATAGAATTGCACTCCAGTCTCAGTGTCCTTAAAGTCCCATCCTCATCAAACGGCCCCGAGTCTTGAAAATTGCACGATCCACAAGATAAGAGAAAATTATCACTTATGGATATATTGTACCTTAGCAAATCTTTGGAGAACAAGCCTTCTGGAAAAATATTTGCATCGTTAAACTGTATTTCTAAAGTGGCGAGACGAGGCAACCCGTTCAACTCATCAAGGATGGCTTTCCTTCTTTCAATATTGAGACCTCCAATTTTCTGTAGAACAAAACATCCTCTCATATACAATTCTTCCAATCTGTATAAACCTGATATCACATTTGGTGCAATAACTGTTAGTCGTTGACAATTACTTAAATCTAACAATATTAACTGAGTCAATTGACCTATTTCTTTAGGCAATTGCTCAATTGTTGAATATCGTAAACTAAGAATTTTTAATGTCCGCAACTGTCCAATAACAGCTATGTCATCAACTACACTATTATCTAGACGCAATGTCTGAAGCTTTGTTATGAGACGAATTGACGATGACCACAAAGAGGAAAACTTCATCCTAGTCAAATCTAAGACTTTGAGATTCCTCATCCCTTTAAAAAAATCCTCAGGAATTTCAACATGAGAATCACCAACCTTGGTATTCATATAGAACAATTCAAGTTCTGGACATTCCAACTTTTCACGAAGGTCAGAAATAGTGCTATCACGTAAGAAGATCTTTTTGCAAATCTTTTGTTCATCCTCACTAGGCCATCTCCAATTCATCTCATTTCTCACGGAAAACACATGGTCCTCTCCTTTTGCAAGGGATGAAGCAACTTCACGGATAAAATCATGCATTGAAAAGGAATAGTTGGTTTGATCGTTAAGCAACAAAGAAGAGTCTTTAAGTTCACTGATCAATGCATACACCTTATTCCAAGCGTCTTCGATCGTGAAAATGTTTGGAAATATATTTAATCCCATAGCATATATGACCAAGTCTAAAATAAAACCTTGATGGCTCATTAGACTACAGAGCAAAAAAGTCTTCTTCAGATCACTTTTTAAGTAATTGTAACTTAATTGTATTGATACATATGCTCTACTCATATCTCCTGTGAAGTTTTCTGGAGAAGACCTTTTCAACTGTCGCAAGGCTTCTTTCCATTGTGGTGGATCTCTTTTATTCTTTAATGCGTTTGCTACAGTGACAATCGCCATGGGCAAGCATCCACACTTCTGACATATATCTTTCGGCAAAGATTTCAACTCACGTTTTTCAGTCAAATCACCTGCAGAAGGTAACAAGAAATACAATTTTTAAATTATTATTTTTTTAAATATAGTTCAATCATAAATTATGAAAATCAGGTTGTGGGAATTTGATCGGATGTTAGCAAATCCTAAATCCCTATGAAAACGAAAATAAAGCAAATAAATGACAAATAAATAAACCACTCACAAACATAAGACTTGTAGTGGTTCACTTTGTATGAGATCTACATTCATTTTACCATTGCGGAATTTCATCACTATGAAGAAGAAGAAAAATTACAAGAGTCTCTCACAAGTCTCACAAATTGGCTCTCTCTCATTAAACCTCTCTTTGGTAGCTCTTACTCTCTAATTATAGTTTTGTCTACTATTCTATTGCATTACCTAACTCTATAATGTAATTAACCTATTTTTATGGGTAATACATGAATTACTATTTCTTATAGGACTCAAATCTAATATCCTAATAAGAATTTTATTTTAATTCCTAATACAATTATATTTTTATTCATAATGCAATACTAATTTAGATTGAATTTGACACCACAATCTCAATAGATAATACAGCATTAAGTGAAAAATGTGATTACGTGTTGTAATCTTATTTCTTAAACATCTTCCAACTCTCTTTTTCACTTAAATTGCCAATCTCAAAAACTTTACAGTTTACAACCCATCTTCACTAACATATCTTTGTATCTTGTTGTCATATAATTTACATCTCCATTATCATCTTCATCAGAATCCCTATACTCTTCAAATCTACTTCTTCCCAAGCATCATCTAAAATGATCAGGATCTTCTTTCTTCTCTAAGTTATTCAATCATGCATACAACCTACATGCTTTTTTCAGTCCTAACTAGGGCTATATACGAGTTAGCCGAGCCGAACACTATGGTGTTCGAAGCTTGGCTCATAAAATTTAACGAGCTCAAGCTCGAGCTTGGGTTCGCCGAGCTCTAAAAACCAGGCTTCAAGCTCGAGTTCTTAAATATTTTGAGCTCGAGTTCAACTCGCGACACCGCTCGTTTAGAGTCCTCAACCCAAAGCACCACCAACAATCCTTCAAAACAACGTCATCCAAAGCCAACCCACTAATCATCACCAACCATCAGATCCAAAGCCAAATAGCCACAAATATATGACTCAAAATTCACCAGTTGTGAGAGAAGAAGAAAAGAGAAGAGGAGAGAAAGAAAAGGAAGAAAGAGAAGGAAGAGATGAAGATTGAAGGAGAAGTAAGAAGAAAGTTGAAAGAAGGAAAAGGAGGAGAGGAAAGAGGGAGGGAAAAAGATGAAAAAAGATGAGAAAGTGTAGGCGCTAGAAAGAGATAGGATTTAGGAAGTGGATAATTTATATAGGATATAGTAAATTACATATAACCCCATGATACTTAACAAATAGCACTTATACCCTTTCGGCCATTCACGAGCCTATGAGCCGGTAGTGGGTGGTTCGTAACTCAGCTCGGAGGTCCCGAGCCGCTATCTCCAGCTCCGCTCAACAAAAGTCGAGCCGAACCACTCGTTCAAGTAGCTTGCGGCTCGATCACTTACAACCCTAGTCCTAACTACTCAACGATTTTTTTTTTGAATCCTTAAGATTTTTTACAAATTTGTTTTTTAACATATAACAATGTTGAGATTTAATGGCCCGTTTTATGAGTTGTTTCCTTGTAAATTCTTATCTTTTTAGGAAGGTTATTTATGGTGTGTTTGGTAGAGCATTTTGAGTAGCATTTTTGAAAAAGCTAAGTTGGGTTTTGTAAATTCTAAAATTTACAATTGAATGAAAGACAGAATCTTGTGGGGTGAGCCACTGACAACCTAGATGGACCTGTGGAGGGTAACCCGGAGGTTGGGGGGAGCTTTAGCAGTGTAGGGAAGTTGAAGTAGATGGTGGGATTGACAGTACGAGAGTTGGAGCTTTGGGGAGATCCCTGATGAAAGGGTTTGCCTCCCTTTATATAATGAACTCATGGGGTTGGAATCCTAGTAGGACTCTGAATCCTACTTATTAGGGGAGTTCCAATTTGGTTTATATACAGGATCCTACAAGAAATGGAAATTGGGCTGGGATTCTGATCCCTTTGTGGACTGCTGTGGGCGAATGGGCCAGACCTAGTTCAACTTAATTCGGGAGGTGGCCCAACTCATAAACCAGGCAGTTTCCAAGGTATTCTAAGCGTGGGCCTAGTCAGGATTGGGCCAAGGCTCTGGGCAGTCACATATCATCGTTGTGATTGGACCTCGTCAAGCCTAATACGAATTTTGGCCCATACAGTTTGTCCCCCACTCTCTTAATTAAAGGGTATTTAGCTTAAGAGAGTAGATTCGATTGTCTACGTTCGGGACATAGATAGGCCAAGGTTCCTAGGCAGATGGTTAGGTTGTCAAAGGCGTCAAAGGGACGCGTATAAGTCGGTTCGGGTCAAATGGCCGAGCCTAACAAAAAGGAGACATGAGTGTTTTGCGATTACAAAGCTTGCACATGTTCGGTTCAGCACAATTCAACTCAAGGTACAATATCCGAACGGGATAAGGTATTTGTCGTTGGGATCCTTTCCGTGTGTTTATCCGATGCCCATTTAGCCTGTATCGTTTCAGGCTCGGTTCGACTAGCTAGGTGTGGGTTGGTGACCTTGGTGGGACTGACTGAGATAATTGCCGAGCTCCCGAAAGGGTGTGGGTGGGAAGGTATGAGTCCTCGACTTGTCATGGAGGTGTTTCGATGAGATCATCTGAGCCATCTTGGTTTGGCAAGCTAAGAGGGTCCCAGGTTGGCGCTGTTAGGACACTCTGTTTCTCGCCTCTTTTAAGTCACGTGCGAAATATGAGAGGCAAGAAATAAAAAGTTTCCGCCCTTTGGCGGCTAGTAGGATTACGCCACCTGTCACTTGTCAGTTTTGTTTTTTTTTTTAAATGCGGTGACTCATCATTCACCCCATTTATCAAGTTCGGGCTCGTTTAGGAGAGAGAGAACGTCAACTTCGTTTCCTTCGTGAGAGTTTTTCGTTTTCAGCCATCCAATCCCGTAAATTTTCTCTTCCTTTGTTCCTCTTTCTTGGTTTTTTACTATTTTTGTGTCAAAAGGACAAGAAAAAGAGTGTTTAAAGGTCTGTTTTGAGGTGTTTTAGCTCGTTTTTGATTTCATCTCTTGCGTTTTTTGGTGAGTCGGCGGTTTCTTGAAGTTTTGGGCTGGTATTCTAAGGGCGGGGTGGTGTTCCGGTTTGCTCTGGGGGGAAGATGAAGATAAAAGATTTTCTTTGGCTTGGGTCAAGCAAGAGCCGAATCGGATAGGGTCTGATCCGAGTGAAGTATATCTTTGAGCAATCAGGTAGTGCCAAGGTAGGTGAAGATTGAGGGCAACGAAACAAAGTAGTGATGTCTGGAAGGAATGAGTATGAGGACGTATTGACCATGGTGATGATCCCGGAAGGTGATCAGGCAGCCCCAACGCGGGGGTGAGTGTCGCCTTTCGTCACAACGATAGGCCGAGCGGTCACGGTGTAGACAGGAACGACGATGGGTCGATTGATGAAGGGTCTAACAATGAATCTGAGTGAGAAGATGCCACCAACGCAGACCGGACTGATGGTAGTGGGATCCCCTCGACCAGTGGTTCTGCAGGGGACGAGCAAAGTCATCCTGGAGTAGGGATGTTAGCCGATAATGCCCCATCCCAGATTGAACGGGTGGAGCTTGGGAAACCTAGTTATCTGTGCAAGATACCTATTTTCGTTGGGATGAGGGTGCCGAGCCGGAATGAGAGAGTTGATTGGTTCGTGCTAGGTTGGGTTAGTATCTATGAGCAGACTTTGGTAAAGGGGATGCACTTCAATATTCCTCGGCTGGTGCGTGAAGTGCTAAGTCATTATGGTATCACCCCGAGCCAACTGATGCTGAACGTTTGGCGGTGGCTCATGTTGATTGAATGCTTAAGTGCTCAACTTAGAGTTGAGTTCAAGGTTATGGATCTGCTCTATTCATACTATTTGAAAGAACATTATAAGGAAAGGAGTTGATACCTGTTCACGCTTCGGCACGGCCGAAGGCATTTAGTAACTGGATTGAAGACTTATGACAAAAAGTGGAAGGATGAGTACTTTTTGTCAAAGGCGAGTTGGTCTTCGGGGTAGGCGGAGCCGAGGGCATTCCCTTCTTCTAGCAGACGACATGTGATAAGGCTTGGTTTTAGTTGTAAGTGTTAGAGTATTAAATCGCATTGTTTCTTTTTTTTGCAGATTTGAACTATAACAGACACTTGTCGGGTCTTCGCGCTGAAGAGAAGAGTCGAGCGATTCTTACTTTATCGGAGGAGGAGAGGAACTACCGTCAAGTGTTAAGTGAGGCGAATCTACGAAGAAGCCCTTTGTGGAGTTAGGTCCTAGACATGCATGAAGGTACAGTTGTTCCGCTCGGGCATCTGTTGCTATATGTCTTGTTGGCCCGGTATAGCAACCTCCTCGTCTTTGGCAGATCCGTTCACCACCCACTAATAGTTGAAGAATTGTGCCTTACAGAAGAGAGGATGTCGAGCGAGTTTAGAGTGCCTTTAGTGAAGGAGATAAAGGAGAAACGCCGGATAAAATTGGCATGAAAGCGAAGAAAGATAGAATCGGGTGAGAGTTTATTGGCTCTGATGGACACGACTTCGAGCCAAATCCCTCAACCCACGCAAAAGATGTTGCCGAGGGCTACTGTGGTGGTGCCAGATGACGATAATGTGAAGATCGTCATCCCGTTTGACGCCTCGGCTTACTCTGATACATCTTTCATGGAAGCCATGGTGGATTCATTCCCTTTTCCTGAGGATGAGCGCCAACTTAAGTGGCTCGGTATGACACAAGCAGTCGAGTGGACAATGGCTCAGCTATTTCAGGTGATTGATCCCATTGTTTTGCGCCACTTACGCCTTTTTTACTTGGTCTAATTTGTTTGTCATTTTGCGCTTGCAAGCCTTTTCTAGAGGTGGTTATCTCCAAAAGTTAGTTAGTTCGCAGGATCGAAGGAATAAGGAATTGGAGCAGCGTAACAAGGAGCTCATTGATGCTACCTCCGAGCTGGAGAACAAGCTCCGTGCGGGACAAGAAAAAAAGTTGCGCTTGGAGAGGGAACATGTCGATCTCGCTTGACAAATGCAGAATACTCAAGCTGAGTAGGAGGCTAAAAGGGCCTCGCTCCTTTGTAGGCTGGAGACCATCTTTATAGAGGCAGTTTTGAAAACTCGCTCGAAGCTTATAGAGGAGTACAAAGTGGGGAAACAGGGTGAATGGGAGCCAGACGAGGACATAGTGGAGTACAAAGTGTTCCTAGCAGAACAAGATCTTGGACCCGAGTTGAATGTCCGTGAGGATGAGATCGAGGCGCCGGAAACTGATACGAGTGGGCTTAGCTGACGGACTGCAGGAGACGACTGGTGATAAAGTGGCGTTGAGCAACCAACAAACTGGGGATGCGTCCGGGCCGAGCGATTCGACCACTGAAGACATTTAGACTTACTTGCCTTGTGCACTAAACTATGTTTTGTACTTAATTTTTTTTTCTTGTTTGAAGTGCCGAGTGCAGCTTTTGGCTATAAGTGTCGTGAGCACATAATTATGTTTAGTTTTGGCCCACCGGGCATTTTTATGGGAGTCTGGCTCCTCTTGTTTATTTTCTATCTTATGATGGTTGTTTGAGCTTTGTTGGTGGCGAGTGCCCTGAAGGGTCACTAGGGTGTCTATGTCTCGACACTAAGTTAGCAAATCCACAACTTTTACACACTCATGAAACGTGAATAATACTTTTATTAATAATGAAATCTAAGTTGGAGAAAACAAAGAACGTTCAACGGAGATAAGGGGGAGTAGATAGACCCACCTTGTCCCCGTTGTGGATAAGAAAAAAGGATAAGGTGGGGTCGAGTTGACTGATTATCAGAAATGATAGATTTTCATATACGTGGCATTCTAACTGTTGGTGACATTCTTGCCTTCTGTTGTTTGTAGTTGGTATGCCCCTTTGTCGACAACTTTGGTGATCTGTAAGGTCTTTCCTAAGTAGGATCGAGCTTGTCGGTTCCCAGTACCTTTGTGTTTTGGAAGACCCATCGCAAAACCCAATTGCCGACTTTGAAGATTCTTGCTTAGACATTCTTGTTGTAGTGTTGGGTTACCTTCTATTGGTATACGACATTGCAGACTAGTGCTCAGTCCCGTAACTCGTTGGTGAGGTCAAGGTTGTGGCAAAGTTGTTGCCTGTTGGCGTCTTCATCTATCCATTGGAGCCATGCCGACAGATTTGTTACTTTTACTAGGATAATAGCTTTCGAGCCATAGGCTAACGAAAATGGTGTTTCTTCCATTGATGACCACGTGGTGGTGCGGTAAGACCATAGTACCCCGGGGAGCTCATCTGCCTAAGCGTCTTTTGCTTTTTTTAGTCTCTTCTTCAATGTCTGGAGGATGGTTTTGTTCGAGGATTCAGCTTGCCTGTTCGCTTAGGGGTATCGGGGAGTGGATAAGCTTAACTTGATGTTCCATGTCTCGTAGAAGTCTTGGAAGCCTGAACTGATAAACTGGGAGCCATTGTTTGTCATTATCTCCTTAGGTAGGCCGAATCGACAAATAACATTCTTCCATATGAAGCTCTTAACTTCGCAATCTCTGATCTGAGCGAAGGCTTTCGCTTCTATCCATTTAGTGAAGTAATCGATGACCACAAGCATATACACTCTTTGGCTTGGCGCGGTGGTAGCTTTTCAATGATATCCATTCCCCACTTCATGAATGGCCATGGTATGAGTATAGAGGTGAGCTGCTCTGAAGAGAGGTGAGCTGCTCCGAAGGAAGATGTGAGACTTTGGAGAAGCGTTGGCAGTTATTGCACTTATTGGAGTATTTGGTTGCGTCGGCGCACATGATGGGCTAGTAGTAGCTGACTATCAATGCTCTGTTGGCGAGACTCCGCCCTCGGCCGTGGTTGCCACACTTGCCTTCGTGGAGCTTTGCAAGTATGTGCTTTGCTTCTTCAAGAGTGATGCACTTGAGGTATGGTCCCAAGAATGATCTTTTGAGTAGGTGGCCCTCATACATGGTAGACCGTGCCGCTTTGGCTCTGAGCCATCTTGCTTTATTCTTATCTTTGGGTAGTTCATCATTCTCCAAGTAGTGTAGGACGGGTGTCATCCACGAGTTGTCTGGGCCGACTAGAGTGACTTCGACCGAACCCGAGGCAATGGCTGATGCATATAGGTATACCAAGGGGATAATTGTTGGATACTGGGTTTTCAAGGTCGAGCCAAGATTTGCAAGGGCGTTTACATGGGAGTTTTTGGTCCTCGGGACTTGGGTGATTGTGATCTCTTCAAATGATGATTGGAGTTCTTTAGCCAAGTTTAGATACAAAGTCATCTTGGGGTCCTGTGCATGATAGGAGCCTTGGATTTGATTCACCATTAGCTGTGAGTCGGATTTCACTACTATTTTTTTGATCCCTATTCCTTTGGTGAGTGAGAGCCTAGCAATCAGTGCCTCGTATTCGGCCTCTTTGTTGGTTGCTTTGAAGTCGCATCGTATGGCTTGTTGCAAAGTATCCCCTTTTGGGGAGATGAGAAGCAATCCAAGTCCGCTGCCATTGATGTTGCTTGAGCCATCCACATATAGGGTCCACTTGGTGGATGCATGATTTGTCAGAGATAGGAGCTCATTCTCCGCCTGAACAGAAGTGTTGGGTGTGAAGTCAGCAATGAAGTTAGCTAGGACTTGAGATTTGATCGTAGTGCGGGGTTGGAAAGAGATATCAAACTTGCTCAGTTATACTACCCATTAGACAAGCCGACCTGAGAGATTTGGCTTGTGGAGTACTTTTTTCATAGGGTAGGAGGTTAGGATTATGATCGGGTGGCATTGGAAGTACGGTCGCAACTTCCGTGCGACTGTGATCAAGGCAAGAGCCAATTTCTCAAGTTGGTTGTACCGAGTCTTGGCTTCGAGCAAGGACTTGCTGGTGTAGTAAACTAGTAGTTGCTTTCCTTTTTCCTCTCAGATCAGCACGACAGATGTGGCAAAGTCAGATACCACCAAGTATGTGAAGAGTTGCTCCCCCGTCTTTGGCTTGGATAGTAATGGAGGTAACGTTAAGTACCATTTCAATTGGATCAATGCCTCTTTGCATGTTGGAGTCCATTCAAATTTCTTTGATTTCCTGAGGGCAGCGAAGAAGAGGTGGTTTTTCTCTGCTGACTTGGAGATGAACCGACTGAGAGCGGCTATCCTTTTTGTGAGACGTTGCACATCTTTTATGCTAGTTGGAGATAGGATGCCCAAGGCCGCCCTGATCTAATCTTGATTGGCCTTGATGCCGTGTTGCATGACCATATATCCTAGAAACTTTCCTAAGGACACACCGAAGCAGCACTTAACCAAATTTAACTTCATATTGTACTTCTGCAGCACCTCGAAAGATTACCGCAGGTGGTCGAGATGCTGCTCAGCTATTACTGACTTTACCAGCATATCGTCGATGTAGACTTCCATAGAGTCTCCTAGCAGGTTAGAGAACATTTTGTTCATGAGTCGCTGGTAGGTGGCTCCAGCATTCTTCAGGCCAAATGGCATCACTTTGTAGCACTAGGTGCCTCGTTCGGCAATGAATGCGGTCTTTTCTTGGCCGTCTAGGTACATCAGTATCTAGTTCTAGACAGAAAAGGCGTCCATGAAGTTGAGTAGTTCATGCCCAGCAGTGGCATCCACTAGCATGTCTATGTAAGAGAGCGAGAAGGAGTCCTTGGGACAGGCTTTGTTTAGGTTGGTGAAATCGATACAAACTCTCCACTTGTCGTTCTTTTTCTTCACTATCACCATGTTCGCCAACCAATTTGGGTATTGAACCTCTCGAACTGAGTAGTTGCTAAGTAGTTTCTCATCCTCCTCATTGATCACCTTGTTTCTCTCTGGGGCGAATCTTCTGCTTTTTTGTCTCACAAGAGGGAAGTCTGGGTCAGCATTTAGTTGGTGCATTATAGCTTCTGGGTTATTCCTAGTCATGTCGGAGTGGGACCAAGTGAAGTAATCTTGGTTCTCCATTAGGAAGTCAATAAGCTTCTTCGGATATTGGGTGAGAGCTAAGCTCCCATTTGTGTCCTTCGATCCAGAAACTCTGGGTGAATTTGGACCTCATCCAACTCTTCCATTGCTGGTTTGTCTGGATCTACTTTTCCAGTTGGAGGTGTCTGTAGTTGCTACATGGTGCCGTTGTTCAGCTTGAAGGCATTTTGATAACAATCTCTAGAGGCCTTCTAATCTCCCTTAATCTCTTTGATGCCCTACTTGATGGGAAATCTGATTGTTTGGTGGAAATTTGAGGGAATGGCCCGAATGCTATGAATCCATAGGTGGTTTACTGATTAATTCCTTTGGAATAGACCGGCAGAGCAATCTCCCCGATGGTGTATTTTTACTTTGAGCTAAACCCTACGAGAAGAGTTGGGCGGCGGGTGATGCTAGACTCATCCAACCCCATCGACTTAAATGCTTCCAGAAACATGATATTTGCTAAGGAGCTAGGGTCTACCAAGATTCTTCTAACAATGATGTTGCGATCTGAAGGGTGATTACGAGTGCGTCATGATGGGGATTCAAAAGTGTTGTTGCCTCGTTATCCATGAATTCTATGGTTAGGTTAGTGGTTTTATATTGTGTCGGCTTTGAGTGTTATAACTGTGTGTTAGCTGCGGTTATGGCATGACACTTCGTCGAGGAGTAGCTTACCCCACTAACTTTTTATCCGCCCAAGATAACTCCACACATTCCATCTATGCGATCCTTGTTCGTCATTGTGCTCTTCCCCTTGTCTGTCAAGAACTCACGAAGATGTCCACTTTTTAGTAGCTTAGCTACTTCGAGGTAGAATGCAATGCAATCGACAGTGTTATGGCCGTGGTCTCCATGGAATTCACACCATTTGGTGGTGTCCCGCTTTGCTCCAAGGTGTTTCAATTTTCCTGGCCATCTTACCACGTTCCCCATCTCTTTCATCACGGCTACCACTTTTATTGGCTCTATATTGAGGTTACAGTCAGGCAGCTTATGCTTGGGTGGTGTGTTGTGGTCGCCGTGCCAAGCCAAGGGGCGATCTAGTCGACACCTGTTGTCTCGTACAAGAACTCTCCTTACTGAATAGGGCTCCGTTGGCTTGGTGTCATGAAGCTTATCGAGGCATCGTGAGTGACGATCATCATTGGCGCTTTGCTTGGCTTTATGAGCTTCGTCTTCCTCCCACCTAATCTCAACCTAAGCATGGGCCAATAAGTCATCCATGGTGTTGCAATTAAACTTGGTAAGTTCCTTGTACAACTCTCCATTTGGGAGTAGGCCTTTCCTGAAGGCATCAACTGCGGTCTCTTGGTTGCAGTGCGGGATTGAGACTTTTTCACGGTTGAAACGTCCCACATAGTCGCGGAGGGGCTCATTGCGGTGTTGTCGAATCTGGTAAAGGTTGCCGGATAACTTTTCTTATTTTTTGCTGCTAGCAAATTGCTCCACGAAGGTGTCCGTGAGCTAGGCGAATGAGGCGAATGAGTGATTGGAGAGGTTGGCGTACCACTAGAGTGCGAGTCCTATTAGGCTAGAGCCAAAGCTTTTGCACATGCATGCCTCCCGAAGATCTTTTGGTATGGCGGCGACAAAAATTCTCTGTTTGTAGGAGGCTATATGGTCATCCGGGTCGGTGCTACCATCGTACAACTTCATGTTAGGGAAGGTGAATTTGTGGGGCATGTCTACAAGAGCAATGGCATCCATGAATGGCGACTCGGCATAGCTTTGGGGTTGACTTTTTCTTAGGGATGTTGGCATCCCTGGGATGTGTTAAGATCAAGGCTTCCATTTTGGCTAATCGTTTGGTCAGTGTTTGTTCAAGGGTGGTTGGTGCAGGGGTATTGAGGGAACACCCTTGGGTTGATGTGAATGGCCATGCCGAACAATATGGCTTGGGGAGTTGTTCCGATTAGTGATTGCATAGGATGTGTTTGTTGGTGTGTAAGGGGGGTGCTCAATTGTTGGGATGGCATGGTTCAGGTTTTTGTTTCGGCAATGGGGTTGGTAGAGGGGTGGACATTATCTTCTTGGGTCGGCTTGGCCACAGCTGTGGTGGTGTTTGGGTCTCTGTTGGTGTAAGTACCAGTAAGGGTGCCACTATTTGGGCTTAGGAACAATTGCCTGGGTTGAATGGGGGGTCGGGAGGTGGATGCATGATGCTGGTCGAATGACGAATCTAGAGAGTAAAATTGGTTTACCTTATCATGGAGATCTTGATTTTCGATGCGGATCACGACATTCTATTCTTCTAGGGCTTGGTACTTGTTGTTGCTTTCTTGCACCAACACGGTGAGTGCTTCGATCTGAGCCATAACGTTTGGTGCATTGCTTTCTATGTGGTTGGTCATGAGTGCCTAACGAGAGAGAGAGAGGTTGAATCAATAGGTCATATTAGATCGTTTGGCTGGCAGGGCCCCACGGTGGGCGCCAAATTGTAAACGCTAAAATTTACAATTGAATGAAAGACAAAATCTTATGGGGCGAGCCACTAACAACCTAGATGGACTTGCGGAGGGTAACCCGGAGGTTGGGGGGAGCTTTAGCAGTGTAGGGAAGTTGAAGTAGATGGTGGGATTGACAGTACGAGAGTTGGAGCTTCGGGGAGATCCCTGATGAGAGGGTTTGCCTCCCTTTATATAGTAAACCCATGGGGCTGGAATCCTAGTAGGACTCTGAATCCTACTTAGTAGGGGAGTTCCAATTTGGGTTGGATACAGGATCCTACAAGAAATGGAAATTGGGTGGGATTCTGATCTCTTTGTGGACTGCTATGGGCGAATGGGCCGGACCTAGTTCAGCTTAACTCGGAAGGTGGCCCAACTTATAGAGCAGGCAATTCCCAAGGTATTCTAAGTGTGGGCCCAGTCGGGATTGGGCCAAGACTCTGGGCCGTCACATATCATCGTTCCGATTGGACCTCGTCAGACCCAATACGAATTTTGGGTAATGAGTGAGGAGAAGGAGTCCTTGGGACAGGCTTTGTTCAGGTTGGTGAAATCGATACAAACTCTCCACTTGTCGTTCTTCTTCTTCACTATCACCATGTTCGCCAACCAATCTGGGTATGAACCTCTCGAACGTAGTTGCTAAGTAGTTTCTCATCCTCCTCGTTGATCACCTTGTTTCTCTCTGGGCGAATCTTCTGCTCTTTTGTCTCACGAGAGGGAAGTCTGGGTCAGCATTTAGTTGGTGCATTATAGCTTCTGGGTTATTCCCATTCATGTCGGAGGTTGGGACCAAGCAAGCAATCTTGGTTCTCCATTAGGAAGTCAATAAGCTTTCTTCGGATATTGTTGAGAGCTAAGCTCCCATTTGTGTCCTTCGATCCAGAACCTCTGGGTGAATTTGGACTCATCCAACTTTCCCATTGCTTTTGTCTGGATCTACTCTTCCAGTTGGAGGTGTCTGTATTTGCTACATGGTGCCGTTGTTCAGCTTGAAGGCATTTTGATAACAATCTCTAGAGGCCTTCAATCTCCTTTAATCTCTTGATGCCCTACTTGGTGGAAATCTATTGTTTGGTGGAAATTTGAGGGAATGGCCAGAATGCTATGAATCCATAGGTGGTTTACTGATTAATTCCTTTGGCATAGACCGGCAGAGCAATCTCCCCGATGGTGTATTTTTACTTTGAGCTAAACCCTACAAGAGAGTTGGGCGGCGGGTGATGCTAGACTCATCTAACCCCATCGACTTAAATGCTTCCAGAAACAAGATATAGCCATAGGCTAACGAAAATGGTGTTTCTTCCATTGATGACCACGTGGTGGTGCGGTAAGACCATAGTACCCCGGGGAGCTCATCTGCCTAAGTGTCTTTTGCTTTTTTTAGTCTCTTCTTCAATGTCTGGAGGATGGTTTTGTTCAAGGATTCAGCTTTCCTGTTCGCTTAGGGGTATCGGGGAATGGATAAGCTTAACTTGATGTTCCATGTCTCGTAGAAGTCTTGGAAGCCTGAACTGATAAACTGGGAGCCATTGTTTGTCATTATCTCCTTGGGTAGGCTGAATCGACAAATAACGTTATTCCATATGAAGCTCTTAACTTCGCGATCTCTGATCTAAGCGAAGGCTTTCGCTTCTATCCATTTAGTGAAGTAATCGGTGACCACAAGCATATACACTCTTTGGCTTGGCGCGGTGGTAGCTTTTCGATGATATCCATTCCCCACTTCATGAATGGCCACGGTGTGAGTATAGAGGTGAGTCGCTCCGAAGAGAGGTGAGCTGCTCCGAAGGAAGATATGAGACTTTGGAGAAGCGTTGGCAATTATCGCACTTCTTGGAGTATTTGGTTGCGTCGGCGCACATGGTGGGCTAGTAGTAGCTGACTATCAATGCTCTGTTGGCGAGACTCCGCCCCCAGCCGTGGTTGTCACACTTGCCTTCGTGGAGCTTTGCAAGTATGTGCTTTGCTTCTTTAAGAGTGATGCACTTGAGGTATGGTCCCAAGAATGATCTTCTGAGTAGGTGGCCCTCGTACATGGTAGACCGTGCCGCTTTGGCTTTGAGCCATCTTGCT